TAAAACATTATTTATTAAAATATATTATTTAACTTCAATAAAATATATATTTAATTTATTTCATTAGTTTTTAATTAAATAACCACTTTTAATGAGTTAATAACTGTCGTAAAAATTAACTTTTAGTTAAGATAAATTTTTTTAAAAATTGAAAGATAATAATATATACACTAAAAATAAAAAGTAATATATATGTAACGAACTCGGAAATTCAAAGTAAATAGATAATAATTTAAGTGCGGAAGCGAAATAAAATGGTTAAGATTTATATTTCTTACACAATAACTTAAAAATATTAAACAGCGTTATAAAATTCACCATTTTGAAAGAAACAAAAGAAATAAGGAAATAAATGGAAAAGATAAAATATCTAGTATCTACTCGCAATCTTCTTGCGGATCGGGCTCTGAAACCTAGTTCTCTTGATCTGAAATGGTTAAATAAGGAATGAACTACACTAGCTGAGTAAGGATATTACACTATATCACCAACACAGAAATAAAAGTGGGTATAAAAATAAAAATAACAGATGGAGCACTAAATTTAATAAATCTATTTATCAATTATAAAATTATTTACCGTTCACTTACCACAGTGGAATTTATGAAAACAACTTATGCAGACAATAATATCATACAGATAATAATTTTATGTAAGAGCAGCAACATAACACATATCATAAACATATACACATCGTCAAATAACCAAACAATAACTGTCATCTTTTCACCAGTCTACTAAGTATCCATAGGGATTCATAGGGATGTTCTCGCTATACGTGATCCCTTTCCTTTAACAATCTCAATTACGGGCTATCTCCATACCCCGTCCGTTATAAGCACTAAATTACCAAGTCTCCATACCCTGTCCAGTATGAGACAACATTCACAGTATCCGGTCCGTCCACCATCTCCCAAGATATCTAGTAGGCCTGTCGTTTTATCTGTTTATTTAATCACACAACTTTTTCATTTTTTTAGTCTCTATTTTCTAAATCAACCATGATCACATAAGCAAACAAACATGCATCAGGGAATGCAATCACATCTCAATTTTTCAATCAAACATTAGTCATGTAAGACAACAATTCATGCATTCAAACCATAAAATTGATAAACTAGATATCATCATACTTTTAAACTGTAAAATAAATCAATAGAAATTAACAAAGAATAATTTTCGGTTCGGGCTCCATTAGTAATTCGTAATTAATTATGTATATTTATTTAAATTCGCACAAAATGCTATATTATTATTTATTTAAACTTCAATTCTATGATGAGGAATAAGGTGAAGGATCCTTACTTGATTTGACGCCCGAAAAGCTAAACTGTTTACTGCGCCTATGGGCGGTTATTGGATTCCCTGAATTTTTTTTTTTCGGGAATCAAAACATACTAATAGTACCTACAAATATTTCAAACAAACCCAAAATCAGTCCCAGGGCCCACTTGGCCAATTTCAAAATTCTAACACAGCGGCTCCGCTGTGCTCCAACGACAGTGTCGTTGCAGCCGGCGGTGGTCTGCCTTAGATCGGATGTTTTCGATTGAGTTCGGCCGATTTTGCATCGATCCCTATGAGAAAATATGTTAAAGGACCTCGGTTGGCCGAAAAAATATGAAAAACCGAAACTCATCGGTGGCGGGGCTCTCCAATCCGACGGCTCCTCGGCTCATGTTGCGGTTGGGTATTTTACTATGGCAAACCTGTAGAAAAGGACACGGTGATCACAATAGTGAAAAAATTACACAGAACGAGAATCGAAAAGGGCCTCATTGGAGGCATTTTATGAAATTTTTTGCGGCGGCAGCGCTAGGCTTCGCCGACATTTTTCGGCCAATTAGCCGGTCTTTTTGCTCCAATTTGACTACGGGTGACCTTAAAATTGAATTTCGTGCAAAAAAATTTTTTTTACCTTTATTGGCGGTCGGAAAGGGTTCCGGTGCGGCAGCAGGTGGCAGCAGTCTGCTCCCCGGCGGCTAGTTCGTCTTCTCCGGTGAGGGGGTCTGGTGCTAGGGTTAGGGTTTGGTGTGGATGTGAGTTATTTATATCCGTTCGCTTTTGATCAGGACAATCTATCGTGTTTGATCTGGACCGTCCGATCGCGATAAAATAGGGAATAAATCTGGACCGTTCATCAAGATCCAGTCTAGACTGTCCATTGTGATTTACTATGGACTGTTCAATCATTTTTGGGAGGGAGCGTATCTAGACTGTCTGTGTGTGCGGGAACAGACTTGTGTCATTCGATCACAGGCACGCGGATCGCCCCTGTGGCACTGCGTCAGCGCCCGTTGCCACGTGGCACATCCTAATTTATCGGGACTGCTGACTTGGAATCCCACGTGACAGAACTTCTCTAAATTGCACTTTGACCCTTTATTTTTAATTTTTATTTCAAAAATACCCCCAGAACCTAAATTTTTATCCATTTTCTCCAAAATTGTTTACAATTTCATCCTCATTCAATTTTTACTTCATTTTTATCCCAAATAAAATAAAATAAATAAATTAATAAAAAAGTATATTTGTTAATTATTTAATTATACACAAATTTTTATTTTTTTATTTTCTTTTTGTGGGCGTTACAACTCTTCCCCCCTTAAAAAAAATTTGGTCCATCAAATTTGTCTCTCACTCTCAATCAAACAGATAGGGATATTGGACTCTAAAGTCTGATTCTAACTCTCATGTGGCCTCTCTCGATGTGTGGTTCTACCATATGATCTTTACAAAGAGAATTTCTCAATTGCAGAGTAATCTACTTTTTCAATCCACAATGTCGACCGGTACTTCCTCGTAGGACAGATCCTCCTGAAGTGGAAGAGCTTCGTGGGCCAAGACATGATAGGGGTCCGGGTTGTACTCACATAGCATGGACATATGAATCACATTATAGACCCTGTAAAGTTCTAGAGGCAATGTCAATCTATAGTTGGCGGTACCAATTCTGTCTAATATTTCAAATGGTTTAATAAATTGGGAATTCAGTTTCTCCATCTTGTCGAACTTACTGATTTCTTTGAAGAGAGTGACTTTGAGGAAAACCCGATCGCCTTTCTTAAATTCCAAACCTTCCTCTAGGTGTCCGCATAGCTCTTCTGCCTACTCTGAGCCATTTGAATGTTTTTCCTAATTTTAACTATTTGGGATGTAGTCTCCTCTACCTGATTTGGCCCGAATAGTATTCTATCGCCCACTTCTTCTCAACAAATTGGTGATATACATGGGTGCCCATATAACGTCTCATATGAAACCATGCCAATACTCACTTGGTAGCTGTTGTTGTAAGCGAACTCTATAAGGGGTAGATGGTCATCCCAATGGCCCTCGGAATCAAGGACACAAGCTCGGAGCATATCCTCAAGTGTGAGGATTGTCCTTTCTTACTGTTCATCGGTCTGAGGGTGGAATACAGTACTAAGGGACAGGTTCGTTCACATGGTTTGCTGAAAGCTATACTAAAACCGAGAAGTGAATCTATGGTCCTGTCGGACACTACAGTTACTGGTACTCCATGTAATCTGACTATTTTTTGGATATACATTCTTGTTAACTTATCCAAGGGATCGGTCATCTTGATGGCCAAGAAGTGAGAAGACTTGGTAAGCCGGTCAACAATTATTCAGATGACATCTTGTCTTAACAAGCCTTAGGTAATCCTGTTATGAAGTCCATGGTGATATGTTCCCACTTCTATACAGGATCGGTAAATGGCTGAAAGTAGCTCGCTTAGACGTTGATGCTCTGTTTTGACCTGCTGACATACTAAACACTTAGAAACAAAGTCAGCTATATCTCTTTTCATCCCGTTCCACCAAAATCGGAGTTGCATACTTTGGTAAATTATAGTACTTTCGGGATGCATGATAAACTTTGAGTTATGGGTCTCTATTATTATGTCCCTCTTTAACTCACTGTCATCTGGAACACACACCCTGTCCTGGAATCTGAGCAATCCATCAGCGGAGACTCAAAATTTTAAGCTAACTCCCTATTTTGCATCTCTCTTGAGGGCTATTAGGGTAAAATCGGCGGACTGAGCTTCCCTTATTCTCTTGATTAACTCAGGCTGAATGGTCAGATAATCCAAACATGTGATTCTCCTCAAGTCCTGAAGCCGTACCTGTTGTGTGGTCCCAATCTATCTACATTATGAGACCATCAAATGGGATAATGTACCTGCACTTTTTCTGCTTAGTGCATCAACTACCACGTTATCCTTACCGAGGTGATACAAAATGTCGCAATCATAGTCCTTAAGAAGTTCTATCCACCTTCTCTAACGCATGTTGAGATCGTTTTGAGTGAATATGTATTTCAAACTCTTATGATCAGTATAGATCTGAAAGGTCTCCCTATACAAATAATGATGACAAGTCTTCAAGGCATTTATGATTGCGGCAAACTCTAAATCATGGGTGGGATAGTTTTCTTATAACTCTTCAACTGTCTGGACCCATAGGCTATGACATTCCCATGCTGCATCAAAACACAACTTAGGCCTAGGTAGGAGGCATCACTGTAAACTGTATATCCCCCCGATCCACTTGGCAATGCCAACACAAGTGCAGTAGTCACCCGCTTCTTTAGCTCTAAAAAACTTCTTTCACAATACTCATTCCACTCAAACTTGATATTCTTCTTTGTGAGCCGAGTCAAGGAAGCAGCTAGACTAGAAAATCCTTCCACAAACCTACGGTAATAACCTGCCATCCCCATAAAGCTACGGATCTCCTAAATTGATGTCAATTTTTTCCAGCCGAGCACTGCTTCAACCTTTTTTGGGTCCATTGAAGACTTAATTGACGTCTCCTTAATTGACGTGTCCTAGGAAGGTGGTATGCTCAAGCCAGAATCCACACTTACTCAGTTTTGCATACAGGTTCTTCTCTCTGAGAACTTGCAAAACTTGAGTAAGATGATAAGTATGTTCCTCTCTACTTTTTGAATAAACTAGAATGTGTCGATGAACATAATAACAAACTAATATAGGAATGTCTGAAAATCTTATTCATCAAGTTCATGAAGATGACTGGGGCATTGGTTAGTCCAAATGGCATGACCAGGAACTCATAATGTCCGTACATAGTTCAAAAAGCTGTTTTGGGGATGTCTTCTGCCCTTATTTTTACTTGATGGTAACCTGAACGTATATCTATTTGAGAGAAGACCTGTGCACGCTATAACTAATCGAAGAGGTCATCAATCCTGGGGAGGGAATACTTGTTCTTGATTGTGACTCTGTTCAGACCTCTGTAATCAATACATAACATCAACGTTCCATCTCCCTTTCTAGCAAATGTGACTCTGGTGCCCCAAAGGGACACACTATGTCAGATAAATCCACTGTCATGCAATTCAATGATCTGTTTTCTCAGTTCTTCCATCTCAACACAGCTCATGCGGTAAGGAGCGACTGAAATGAGTTGGGTGTCTGGCTGAAGGTCTATGGTGAATTCGGTTTCTCTATCCACTGCCAGTCCGGGTAATTCATTCGAAAATACATCTGAAAAGTCTCGGACAACCGGAATTCCTTGAATACAAATCTCTTTCTTGAGTTTGCCTACTTAAAGAAAACAGCAGGATTAAAATACTTGATAATAAAAAAATTTTCCATGAGGGAAAGATGCCAAACGATTTTATTAATTTATAAATGACTCATCATTAAGAGGATTGAATACAACCTTCTTACTAAAACAATCTACAGTGGTATGATACGCTGATAGCTAATTCATTTCTAAAATTATATCAAAGTCTCATGTGTCTAATTCTATTAGGTCCACACTCAATTTCCTATCTGTTATATCTATGACACAGGCTCTATATACAGCTTCTTCCAATAGTGTCATACTCTCAACAGTAGACACAAACAGTACGGAATCAAGTTTATCAGGTAATATATTAAATTTTGATGTAAAAATAGGTCAAACAAATGAATTTGATACACTAGTATCAATCAAAATATGAGCAAGATAGTTACAGATAGTGTACATACTTTGTACCACATCCGGGTTGGCTTCTGCATCCTACTGGGTGAGATTGTAAGCTCTGCCATCGATAGGAGGTTTGCCTTGAGTCTGGTTCCTTAGGCACTCCCTCGCATAATGTTGGGTACTACCACATATGCGACATGTATTGTTGAGGCGATAGCAGAGTTGGTCCCTATGATCCCTGCCACAATGCTGACAGATCTTACCGCATCCTGCCACTGGAGCCTGAGGGGGAGCTTGGATCACTGGCCTGAGCCTCTTATTCTGTTGAACAAGCATAGAAGGTGATGGTCTGCGGGGTGTAGCTGAGGGTCTGAGGTTCCCTACTGCTTGAGAGAAGGTGCAGAAGCTCCTCTCCACTAGTTGTGCCTTGGCCAGAACGGCCGAATAAGTCCTGAGCTCCAGCACAAACAAATGTTGTCTGATCTCTAGCCGGAGACCCCACTCGAACCTTCTAGTCTTCCTGCCTTCATCCAATAATGTCTCAGGGGCATATCGATCCAACTCTAGAAACTTGCGAGCATATTTTGACACAGTCATGTTCCCTTAGACCAACTGTACAAACTCCATCTCCTTTAGATGTCAGAGATGCTCTGAAAGGTATTCTATACGAAAAGCCACCAGGAACTGTTCCTAAGTAACTGGAACAGACAGGGTGGTCTGTTTGAGTTCCTACCAGCAGTCTGCTTCTCCCACTAGCATGTAGGTAGCAAGGGTGACTTTCTGTTCAGGAGTCCCCCAAGGGTCTTGAAGGCCTTTTCAGTCTCTGCTAACTAGTACTTGACATCTTCAAAAGAGGATCTACCTGCAAAAGTAGATAAGTTTAATCTTTTATACCTTTCTATGTAGCCTGGGTCCATCATGGGAGGAGCTGGATCCCGCAGAAGAGGGACTGAGTCATGCTGAGGATGGACTGGATGGCCCTACGGTGTTACTTGCTGATACGACAGGGGTACCAGATTGTACTGGGGTGGTGCCGGGTGGTACTGTGGCTGAAGTATCGGATCATACTGGGGTGGTGCTGGGTGGTACTGTGGAAGAGCATAGTCATACTGAGGTGGCTCGGGATCCTCTTGCTGTAGGGGTGGCTAAACCTGTGGCAGCGGGGGAGGGTCAGGTAGCTCCCTCATTTTCCCTCGGGCCTGTTGGGTAGTAATGAGTCTCTCTAGCATATCAAATATCCGGTCAACATCTTCTCTGAGTGAACCATCCCGGGCTGCTCGGTTTAGTGGGGGTCTTCCTCTCCTCATCTCTCTGTACCTACATTTCATAAGGAATGGTTGAGTGATAATTCATTGTTTTGGTGTTCCTTAAGATTATTGTGTAAGGAATGGGTTCGAGGAACGCGGCTCTGATACCAACTATAACGACCCTGAAAATCTAAAAGAAATAGATGATAACTTAAGTGCGGAAGCAAAATAAAAGTACTAAACAGCGTTATGGAATTCACTCTTTTGAAATAAACATAAGAAATAAGGAAATAAATGGAAAAGAGAAAATATCTAGCATCTACTCGCAATCTTCTTGCGGATCGGACTCTGGAACCTGGTTTTCTTGATATGAAATGGTTAAATAAGGAATGAACTACACTAGCCCAATAAAGATATCACACGATATCACCGACACAGAAATAAAGATGGGTATAAAAACAAAAATAAAAATAACTAAAAGCACACTAAATTTAGCAAATCCATTTATCAATCATACAATCATTTACCGTTCACTTACCACAGTAGAATTTTTGAAAACAACCTATGCAGACAATAATATCATACGGATTATAATTTTATATAAGATCAGTAACATAGCACATATCATAAATCTATATACATCATCAACTAACCAAACAATAACTGTCACCTTTTCACCAGCCTACTAGTATCCATGGGGGTTCATAGGGATGTCCCTGCTACACGTGACCCCTTTCCTTTAACAATCTCAATTATGGGCTGTCCCCATACCTCGTCCAGTATGAGCACCAAATTATTAAATCTCAATACCCCGTCCAGTAGGAAGATGAAGTGGGCCGTCCCCATACCCCGTCCGGTATGAGCACTAAATTACCAAGTCTCTATACCCCGTCCGGTATGAGACAACGTTCACGATAGGGTTCCCTATGTACCTAGTCTGTCCACCATCTCTCAGGATATTTAGTAAGGTTGCCATTTCATCTGCTTATTTAATCACACAACTTTTTCGTTTTTCTTTAGTCTCTATTTTCCAAATCAACCATGATCACATAAGCAAACAAACATACATCAGGGAATACAATCACATCTCAATTTTTCAATCAAACAGTAGTCACGTAAGGCAACAATTCATGCATTCAAACCATAAAATTGATAAACCAGATACCATCATACTTTTAGACTATAAAATAAATTAACAGAAATTAACAGAGAATAATTTTCGGTTCGAGCTCCATTAGTAATTCATAATTAATTATGTACATTTATTTAAATTCGTACAAAATAATATATTATTATTTATTTAAACTTCAATTTTATAATAGGAAATAGGGTGAGAGATCCCCTGTAACACCCTGGTTTTTTTTTTCTCCTTCTTTTCACTTTTAGGGCGTAATCAACCAAACAACCAATTCCATAATCAATCGGTCATGCACAAGGAAACACTATCACGATCCCTTATTCAATGATCCAGATAAACCTACTATCATGCACAAGGTATCTCATACAATACAACCGTACTCAATATCTATGCTACCATCAATTGTTACACATTCTATTATGTCAAAAGAACAAAAATCTTTATCCTGTTATACTACACACTAGGTTCGGACGCCAGCAACTTCGATCCGGACTCCGTTCCTACATCATCTGTAAAGAATAAAGAGTGAGTCCATCTAACTCAGTACAGTAAATATTAAAACACAGGTGTGAGATGCAACAATATAAGACCCCATGCCTCTACCACCGGTTCACTACTTAACCCAAGTACCCCCCCTGTATCCCACAGTCCTACATACCCAGGGTTTCCGTCCCCCAACGCCACCCCAGGTGTACTAGCGATGCCCCCCACCACCAAGATCAGCGACCATTAACCACTTATCGACCCCCACTGGGCCACGCACGCACACTATTTTCATTCACTTTCGTCACCAATATCGGCAACCATCATTCACCTACCGATCCCTATTGGGCCACACACACACACCCCGATCATTCTCCCCCGTCATCAACATCGGTGACCATTAACCACCTCTCGACCCCCATTGGGCCACGCACGCACACTATTTTCATTCGCTTTTGTCACCAGCATCGGCGACCATTATCCACCTACCGACCCCTATCGAGCCACACACACACACTCCGATCATCCTCTCCCGTCACCAACATCGGCGACCATTAACCACCTCTCGACCCCTACCAGGCCACACACACACACACTTTGATCATTCTCTCCCGTCACCAACATCGACGACTATCAGCTACCTCTTGACTCTACCAGGCCACACACACACACATTTTCATTCACTTTGTCACCACCTCGGTGACCATTATCCCATACGACCC